CTAAAGTCACCACAGCATCCCTTCTGCCATCTGGCCACCAGCAGGGAGCAGGAAGGGCGGGCCTCCATGGCCACAGAGATGCTTCACGGCCCGCTGGGCACACAGTGGATCCTGGTCTTCCCACTTCCTCCTCTCCCGGATGCTCACCAACTCCTTTCCATTCCCCCGTGTGTCATCATCTTCTTTGTAATCCTTTTTTGTTCCCCTAAATTAATGCTGCTTGGATTTACATCTTGTTTATAAAGACAGAATCACCTGGAAGCATCAAGGGGTGACAGTAGCCGCAATGTGGGGGGCACAGACCAGATGGCTGGCCAGGCCCTACTGCCCTGTTCCTTTAATGCCCGAGTTTTGCTCCTTGAGAACAGATTGGCTGATGTTCCTACATCGTCCCCAGCCCAAGCTCTGCCTCAAAGACTGAGAGTAAGATAAGCCATTCCCATCCCCCTAGCTGGCATCCAGGGCCCCGTGTCTTCTTGCAGGAGGAGGTGGTTTCTGTGAGCACAAAGCCGTTTCGCTCAGAACGAGAGAAGGCAGTCGAGGCGGGTTTTCACTGCTGCCTTTTCTTACCTCTGAGTGTGAGAACACTGAACATGGCCACTGCCCCTGTCCTGGAAATAGTCTAATAAATCCTTTTCCCTTTTTGAGCCACCTGAGTGATTGCATCTTTGACTCTTGTATGGGGCCCTTTGAAGGCCAGTCTTGCTTCCAATAAAGACCCTCTGGTTTTCTCTCTGCTTCTTCCTGTCTCTTCAGCACAGTGTGAAGTAAGTAGAGGTGTGCGCTGACTGCTGTTCTCCAGGCAGAGCACAAGGCTCCTCCCGCTAAAGCCTGAGATGAGTGGCTGGGGGTGTGTAAGAGACCAGATTGGGGTCAGAGGCTGCCAGGTGGGAGGTCTGGCACTAGACCTGACCTGTACTTCCTGTGTTGGTTTGGTCTGGTCTGCCAAAATTTAAAAATCAAGAGAATTGACCTAAAAATACATATTTCTGGCTTCTGGAAGATTATTATGCCTCAGATGTACCAGGCAATAAAACAGGGGCAGGAAGGATTAAGTTACTTAATACTGGGCCTGTGTCCCCATTAGCAGCCTATCAGCTGCACTAAGTAGGGTAGGGCGCCCCTCCCCACTCATCTATGCCCCTGACAGGGAGACCCTGAGGTGACAACCCTGGAAATGGTTATGCAGGAAGCAGTGTAGTAGAGGCTACCCCACGTTTATCCTATGCACACAAACGCACCAAGTCAAACCAGCTTCACAGAGGCGGCCTGACCTAGGAACTGGAGCCTGTAGCCTACAAAGAGGGTCATTCTAGCCTGCTTTCCTCCAAAACCTGAGCGGGTGGTTGGGCACGGTGGCTCATGCCTGTAATCCTAGCCCTGGGAAGCTGATGCGGGCGGATGGCTTGAGCTCAGAAGTTCGACACCAGTCTGAGCAAGAGCAAGACCCCTTACCTAAAATAGAAAAACTAGCTGGGTGTTGTGGTGGGCGCCTGTAATCCCAGCTACTCAGGAGGCTGAGGCA